ATGAGGAAAATCCAGGTGATTAGGACACATGCCAAATGGAACTCAGCCAGGCGGGTCTTTCACCTATCCCAGGGGCATCCAGATTCTTCCCTTTGTACAAGCCCTACTCAGACTCCTCTTCTTGAATCATCGTTGCTTAGGGAACAAGCATGCTTATGTTCCTCCTAAAATGCCTCATTGTTGCTCCCCTGCATACCACCGCATCTCCTGATTTTCTCCTTCCCCACACACACAGCTTTCCTCCCACCCAGACGTGAACTCTCCTCTCCCACAATCTCACTTTGCCACCTGACTATTCCCACCTCATCAACACCCACCTCAGCTTCCCTCCTGAGAAACCCCCTGTCTGCCACACCCTTTGCAAGGTCCTTGCTTAGCATCTGGGCAGCCATTTTAAGGGAAAGCTGCCATTTTCCCACCCAAGGGCCTTTCCAGGAAAAGCTCACCACTCCCTCACACCAACCCCATCCTTAACTGTCCACATTAGAACCCACTGGCTCTAACCCCTGAGCCTCCCCCATAAAAGTCTTGAACCCCAAGTCTGTGTTGCCTTTTTTAGTCTATGGAGAGAGGGCCTTTATTTGGCAGCTCTGACAAATGAACTCTCCTGTGTCTCTGCCTGGTCTCCATCTTTCATTTCTCACTCGCTAGGCTCCAGTTTCTCACTTTCCTTTCATTGTTGCCAAAACCTGGGTTCAGGTTCCCCCTATGTGCCCACTCCTCTCTTTGAGGGTGACAGAGCATCCCCAGGCCCTGATCCAAACTCCATCCTGAAACCAGACCCTCCATTCAACCCAATGCCCTCTCTGCACTCACCCCCAGATATTTCACATAAGACCCCTGTCTCGAATCGAATTAAAAGACCTATGCATCCAGGAAGTGAACCATAGATACAATTATATGGATATATAGATACAGAGATTTATAAATATATATAGCTACACAGTGGATCAACAATTATATAAAAGAAATTCGGGCGACAGAAATTATCTAAATCAGTGAGGACTGAGGACTTGGAAGTCAAAAATTCTTTGTGGGGGCCATTTTGACCCATTGCCCAGTTCATATTGGGGCCAGGCCACAGTTGAATAAAAAAACCAAGCATTTATGGCATAGATCTTGAGTGAGTTTGGCAAAATTTTAGTATAAAGAGCCCAGAGGGGTTTTGATGTCTAAAGAGGACTTGTGTTTCCCATGACTTTCTGGCCCCCTCAGAGGTGAATGGAAACAGAAAACAGTGTTCCAAATTGTGTTCACTCTCACCTGAGGAAAGGRTAAGTGCCGGGTGGGGGTTRAAAGAYCCCTGCAACCCACCAGGGGCCCAAAAGKATTGGAGTGGCTTCCAGAAGGACTGGGATGTCTCCACAGTTCCCAGAGTCTTAAATGGAATGGGCGGGGTCTATGGCATGCACATGACTTACGGAGAGACCCTATGAATGGAAAGGGGCTGGTAAGTCAGGGGAAATGGGAACTTACCCCACTCCTGTCTGCCCGGATGAAGGGARAAGGGAAGAGGCAGTTTAGGAATTTCCTAGTTCATTTGAAGGGACGGTGGACTTCAATCCCTTATGAGAATAGCCCAAAAATCCCTCCTAGGTTTTGGCACCAGATGTAAGGCCAGGCAGAAGAGAATCTGAGGAGAATCCTCATGGGGGCTTGACCAGACTGGAATTTTTATGGGCTTAGGGCAGGAAGGGAGGGCTTGGAACAGAAAAGGGGGTTTTAGAGTCCCTTGTCCTACTGGGGTTGGTTGGGGAGAGTTGGCTGAGATCCAGAATTGGCCAGGAGACCCGGCTGATTGACAGGTAGTTCCATTGGTGGAGTGGCTTGGTGCTTTGTTCCTAAGTCACTTTCATTGACTTGACACTTAGCATTAGCTATAGTCTAAAACTAGAGKACAGAGATAGAAATATTCCATCATGAATGGAAGTTGTCAGACAAACCAAATAGTTTGCTTCCCCCGGTAAAATCACACAGAAAATAAATTATATTTGAATTGCTGAGAGTTATGAAAACATACAAGAAACAAAAGAGACATAATTAAAAAATAAAATAAAATATTAGGCACATTGTTAAAGCAAATTTAACCTCTAAAATAACATTATTGCTATGATTATATAAAAATTCAAAAATTGGGTTAAACAAGAGAAAGTAAAAGAATTTTTAATATTTTCAAAACAGAAGACCTGAAAAGTTTCTTCTAAGGCAAT